GCCATTTCTGAAGAAGGGTCTAGGCCCGAAACGTCAGCCTTCCTGCTCCTCTGATGCTGCTTGGCCTGCTGTGTTCATCCAGCTCTACGCCTTGTTATCTCTGTTATGACATGGTTTGCTTTTTGTGCACTAACCCATTCTCACCTACTCTTACACCTACTATCACATTATATGGGTTGCATTCAGTACAGCTCACCCTTTTTCCCCCCGTTCTGAGCTCTTATCATTTATTCAGTCCAGCTTTTCTTCTGTCCTAGCCTACTATCCATAATCTCCTTGTTTACCTACTTGTTTCATATCTCTTTCTTTCTGGGCTCCATCTTCACCTTTGTGCTCATCTCTCTCCTTCACCACCCCTCCTCTACCTTGTCTTCTGCATAAATACCATCCTCTCCTCATTGCTAACAGTTCTGATGAGGAGTAATTGGACTCAAACTATTAACTCTGCTTTCTTCCCACAAATGCTGCCAGACCTGCTGAATTTCTTCAAAAATTTGTTTTTCTTACTGAAATATCTTTAGTGGTCCCAACATTGCCATTACCTTACCAATACAATTCAACTTCAACCAATACCATTAACAAGCTGTGCCATGTGACCGTGTCAAATGCTGCCCTACAAAGTTCCACTGAAAGGAACAAAATGCTCATACAAGAAAAAAAACAGTTCACCTTCTCTTTTTCCTGTGGTTTTACTCCTGGACCAGTGGAGGAAGAGGCCACTTTATCTTTGCCCTGATACAAGAAACAAACTTTATTTAATTATAAAGAATGAAAGCAACTGGTAAAACTGCAAGACAAATATACAGAAATGCTTCAGCATTCCACAGCCCATTGTCACATAATGTCAGTGTGAACTACAAATAATCAATAAGTTGACCTGAAAGGCACTTAGCTACCACACAGCAGGACTAACCAAACAAGTGTGTAATGGTGATTTTGATTAATTGGGTAAATTTTATTTTGTAATTCTGTCAGATTTCTTGCAAGCTTTAATATCTTTAATTTGATTTCTACTACTGCAAAATAAATTATCTATTTTAATGTCAGTCTATTGTAGAAATGTTTTTCAATGTTCATTCATTAAAACACAAATTGATTGAAATAATGTTGGCTTGACTCAAACTTTGAACCAAACCTTAGGATCAGGTTGTTCTTTAAATCTGTAATCAGGGGGTATAGATCCTTCAGTTTCTCCCACTCGCTCAGCTTTCTTCTTAGTAACATCTGATTCCTGAAAATGAACAATTATTCAAAATTAAAATTCAAACATTAAGCTTCAATATCCATACTTCGTGCTTCAACAAAATGATAAATGGAATTAAGTGAATCAAAACTTTGAAAAAGCTGACTGCAAATGTGGAGAGCAAGATTGATAATGAAAATACATGAAGGATGCTCCACATGCAGTTGCATGCTATTTAAGCTAAATTTGCATAAAACCAGTTTAATGCATACATCAGAGGGATTGGGATTGTACATGTCAGAAGTATATGGGAAGAATACCATCACAGCCTAATCTGTCAAAAGAATTGGTTCATTTACACAAACTCAACCTCTAATGACCCATCAGACAGATATTCTAAATCACTTTCTCCATTATTAGTGATTATTGCCTTTAGGTTCATATCTTAAAGCTTGACGGTAGTTTTAGTCAGAAAACCAAGCAAAGGCAGACAAAAATGTCTTGAAGTACTTCAGATATTTTTCAACATTAGGGGCATTATACATTCATGTAGTTATTGATGTAGGAGGATCAGGAAAGTTATTTAATCATACCTTGAGCAAGGAGAAGTAACAGGCTTGGTTATTTATTAAAATGTGCAATCGGATCACAAATAGAGGAACTAAGTATAGCACATGGTACCATTAGTATTATTGTTGGACTTGGGTAAGGGCAATGCTGCCAACAGAATATTTTCATATGCATAGATATATATTTAGCTCTAACATAACATCATCTGTTGATCTATTCTATAAGTACTAAGTGATTAAGATTATCAGGAGACAAACTTTATTTCTACCTTCACCTCAGGACCAGTATATTTTGGACCTGAATCATCTGGTGCTTCTGATGGAAGTGTTCCTGCGAGCAGGTCAAATGGATCTTCACCCTTTACAAACAAAATACACTTTTTCAATTTGTGATAAAGCTGAATGGAAATATATCTTGACAGTGGTGAAAAATGTTACTGAAAGCAACTAAACAGTTCTTCCTTTGAATATGAAGAACGTGGTGATATTACTCTAGTGCTATTAAGGGTCACTCAGGCAATTCAGGTCTTACTGGAGTACTTCTGAAGAAAGGTCTAGGCCCGAAACGTCAGCTTTCCTGCTCCCCTGATGCTGCTTGGCCTGCTGTGTTCATCCAGCTCTACACCTTGTTATCTTAAACAACTGTACTTCACACATTTTTCAACTACCTACTCCAGATGGGAGCTCAACCCTGGAAAATGTGAAGGAGAATAATGAAGAATTTTGTTTTGACAGTCACGGGTTTGGTGAATTTTAAAGCTGTTTTTGTGAATAAAATGGGGAGAAGCACAATGCTGGAATTTTGCCTGAATATGTATGGAGCTGGCTTCAAAACAGACTTTGAAATTTCGTTCAACAGTTCTTCCTTTGAATGTGAAGAACGTGGTGATATTACTCTAGTGCTATTAAGGGTCACTCAGACAATTCAGGTCTCACTGGAGTACAGGAATGTGATGGCTGTTGCGATAGGATGTGCCTACACCTTTTAAGGATGTAGATCTTAAACTACTGTCCATCACTACCCACCTCAATAGGATACAATGTATTAGTCCTGTAATTTGTTCGGCAGCCTGATGCAACAGTAGCAAGAGTCAGATGTGCTGTATAGAGAATTCCAGTGAACATTCTCTGTACTTAGTCTTACCTTCAAATAAAGAGCCCATGTTACTAATTCACCAATCCTCACAAGTAATTGCTACAGTTATGGAGAAGAAAAGAATATACAATGACAACAAGAGGTCTGTACACCAGGACTTGTGTTGTCAAACATTTGCTGATGTAGTTTTGAACTGGTGTTGGATTAACTGATCAGTGTAACCGTTCAAAAGACGTGGTTGCCAAGCTGAAGTGATGCTGATCTATCATGGTCATTATTTTGCCAGAGGTACCCGAAATCTCAAAGATTCATGGTTTGCAGAATTTATACATTTCACATCTTATGATTTCTCACTTACCTTTGTAGCACTTTTACTTGCCGACACAGCCGATGAAGCTTTTGAAGGTGCCTGTGCAAGAAAGAACGTTCGGTTTTTAGTTTCTCCCCAATTAACTTACAACTGTCCTTTCAGAATCTCTACCGTGTAGCCTTTAGTTCTGTCCACCACAATATTTTTGCAGTGACCAATTTATTCAACCAGATCTTCCACTTTTAATTCCCTAGTCCCAAAAACTATTATTCTCTCACCTCAGCTCTTCCCCTGCTCTGGCCTCCTCCTCTGCTCCCTTGCAGACTTAAATGAACACCGAGTGTCATTCATCCCCAAATGTGGCTGGCCCACATGAAAGCTATTGGTTCCTGCTCCCATCTGTCAAAACTTCTCATCATTCTTGGATCATCCTGGAATGCCAAGATGACCCTTTTTCTTTTCTCTATTGCAAACCAACTTCTTAAACCCCTCTCCTCTCCACCCTCATTTCCAACAGAAAATGCAAAGCGTTTATGAACTTCTTCATTTCCAAGATCAAGATCATCCAATCACTGCCTCTAAAATTGTCAACAGCCTATTTGTATCAAAATGCTCTTCAGCCCTTGCCCGGAATATGCGTCTTAGTCTAGTTTCTTTACTAAAACCCTGCATGCACTCTCTAAGTTCACTTTATCCATGAAATCCATCTCCAGCTAATTCAACCTTATTCCCACTGAACTACTGGCCACCCACTTTCCTTACTTTATCTTCACCTTAGCCTATATTGTTAACAGCTCAGGTGTTCTCTCTCTTTAATCTACCATCACCATCCATCTCCTCAAAAGAACAATCCTGGACTCAAAAGTCATTGCAAACACCTCACCGTCTTCAACCTCCCTTTCCACTACAGTTCTTGAATGCGTGGTAATCTTCCAAATCTGTGCCCATTGTTCCCAGAACTCCATGCTTTTATTTATTCACTCATTGCACATAGGTGTCACTAGCAGGTCCAGCACTTATTCTCTATCCCTAGCTGTGCTTCAAATGATGGTGGTGAGCTGTCTTCTTGAACCACTGCAGTTTATGTTCTGCAGGTAGACTCACATTGCTGCTAGGGAGAACCCTCAAGAATTTTGACCCATTGACTTGGAAGGAACAGGGATATATTCATGGTGATGAGTGGCTTGGAGGAGAATTTATACCTGGTTGTGTTCGCATGTATCTGCTGCCCTTGTCCTTCCAGATGGAAGTAGTCAGGTGTTTGGAAGGTGTTGTCTAAGAAACCTTGGTAAATTTGTGCAGTGCATCTTGTAGATGGTCCACATTGCTACTACTGAGTATCAGTTGTGGAGGGAGTGGATGTCTGTGGATTTGGACTGAGAAATATTCTATCCTGACTTGTGCCTTGTAGATGGTGGACAGACTTTGGGGAGTCAGGAGGTGAGCTACTCACTGCAAATTTCCTAACCTCTGGCCTGCTCATTTAATCCCTTAATAGTAGGAGATTCAGTGATGGTAAAGCCATTGAATGTAAAGAGATGATGGTTAGATTCTCACTTGTAGCAGACGTTCACTGCGTGGCATTTGAGTGGTGTGAATGTCACTTGTCCCTTGTCAGTCCAAACCTGGATATTGTCCAAGGCTTGCTGCATTTCAATATAGATTGCTTCAGTATCTGAGAAGTCATGAGTGGCAATGAACATTGTGCAATCAAATTACGATGGAGGGAATGTCATTGTTAAAGCAGTTGAAGATGGTTGGGCCTAGAACACAACCTTGAGGTAGTGTTCCCACACCTTTACCTCTGGTGTTGTAGTAGGGTTGATGTATTTGCATGGCACATAAGAGCAGGGTTCCTGCTCCTCTTTAAGATAAAGAGAAAGAAAGTTTAAACTAAGAAAGACTGCTGATTATGAATAAAAGCAAACACTGTGCATGGGTCTGTACAAGTGAGAGATATGGTTCACAGCATATCAGATTGGAAAACCAAATATAGAAGGCAGTTTTGAGAACTCGCATACAATTCTACCTTCCTAACTTTAATTCTGTTACAGAAGCTAACAGTTGGAGATTGTTGCCATACCTCCTTCAGCACAGGCGGTGGAGCTACAGAATGAGAGGTTGCAGCTGAACATTTTGAAATCGGAGCTGCAGAGCCGAGGCCAAAGTCTGCTGACAGAGAATCCAGGGCGTCACCTTCAGATATACCCTGTAATGACAATACAATAAATATGTAGTTAGTTCACCTCAAAAGATATTTTAAGCATGCAGATATCAAGGTTTGCCTCAACCCTCAATATTGCAGCACAAGATAAAATACCAATACCACCAGCAGTAATTGCCTTTAGTTTTCTGGGTGACCTCTGTCAACGGCACTTCACAACAGCTAGTAGGTTGCGCAAGAGTGATGGACAGTTTCCAAGTTGACTGGAAACGGCAAGCACTACTGAGACAAGATAAAGACTTTTGCAAAACCCACGACTACTTTTAATAATAGTCTGTGCCCTAATATAGCTGCATGCAAGCTATGGATTCCAAATACGTTTTGAAAACAAGCACACACACCAAACCTACACGACAGTTCAACAGAGATAGTAAGAACTGCTGATGCTGGAGTCAGAGATAACACAGTGTGGAGCTGGAGGAACACAGCAGGCCAGGCAGTATCAGAGGAACAGGAAAGCTGACGTGTTGGGTCAGGACCCTTCTTCAGAAATGGGGAAGGGGTAGGGAGCTCAGAAATAAATAGAGTGGAGGGGTGGGGCTGGGGAAGTTAGGTGGGATGGTGATAGGTTAGTGCAGGTAGGGAGTGGTGGGGATTGGTCAGTGAGGTGGGAGGAGCAGATAGGAGGGAGAGAAGATGGACAGGTTGTGTCAGGTCAAGGAGGTGGGGATGAGAGAGAGGTTTGATCATGGGATGAGGCCGGGGGTGGGGAGATTTTGAAACTGGTAAAGTCCACATTGAGAGCATTGGGTTGTAGGCTCCCAAGGCAGAATATGATGTGCTGCTACTCCAGTTTCTGGGTGGTGTCATTGTGACACTGGAGGAGATATGTCACCCAGGGAGTGGGAGGGGGTATTGAAATGATTTGTAACTAGAAAGTGTTGCCGTTTGTCGCGAACAGAGCACAGGTGCTCTACAAAGTGGTCTCTGAGCCTTCGCTTGGTCTCACCGACGTAGAGGAGGCCACATTGGGAGCAGCAGATGCAGTAGACCACGTTGGGGGATGTGCAGGTGAACCTCTGTCTAATGTGGAAGGCTTTCTGGGTTCCTTGGGTGGAGGTGAGGGTGGAGGTGGAGGCGTAGGGGCAGGTATAGCACTTCCTGCGGTTGCAGGGAAAGGTGCCGGGGTGGTGGGGCTATTGGAGTGTGTGGAGCAGACAAGAGCGGTCCCTCTGGAAGGCAGATCAGGGTGGGGAGGGAAATATATCCTTGGTTGTGGGGTCAGATTGCAGGTGTGGCAGAGAATGAAACGTTGAATCCGAAGGTTAGTGGAATGATACGTGAGGACAAGGGAGATTCTGTCTTTGTTTTTGTTGTGAGGAGGGGATGTGAGGACAGAGGCGCGGGAAACGCAAGAGATGCAGTTGAGAGCATTTTTGACCACTGAAGGGGGGAAGGTGCGGTCCTTGAAATAAGACAACACCTGGGATGTTTGGGAATGGAATTCCCCACATTGGGAGCAGACGCGGCGGAGGAATTGGGAGTAGGGGAGTGCATTCTTGCAGGAAGGTGGGTGAGAGGAGGTGTAGTCCAGGTAGCTGTGGGAGTCGGTGGGCTTGAAATAGATATCGGTTTCGAGGCAATCACCAGAGATGGAGACAGAGGTCCAGGAAGGAGAGAGAGGTATCAGAGATTGTCCAGGTGAACTTGACAATTTAAAAGTTCTTCTTAATTTGAGCAGTTAAAAACACAAATGATAAAAGTAAGAGGTGTATTGGTGCTTTAGTTATTGATTGGCCCAAATATAATTTTTTTATTCTTAACATTCCTCATTCCCATGTAGACCCATACTTTCCTTGCACTATAAGAAGCAGGGTTCATATACCATATATACTTGAGTAAAAGTCGATCTCATGTAAAAGTCAAACCCCTATTTTTGGCCAAAAAATCTGGAATTTTCCATATACCTTGTGTAAAAATTGACCCTAGTTCTTCACAGATAACAGATCAACATTTTGTGAGTGAAGGTATTACCCTGTACATAAATATTGTGATGGGGAAATGAATCTCTCTTTTTCATGCTATTAAATGTTTTGTAGCCTACAGATTTCTTAAGTTTCTTAAGTTTAACACATTTCCTATGTAAGATAGACCTATATGCATTTACAACAACAGGAACAAAAACAAAGTTGCTGGAAAAGCTCAGCAGATCTGGCAGCATCTGTGCAGGAGAAAACAGAGTTAACGTTTCAGGTCTGGTGACCCTTCCTCAGAACTGCATTTACTTCACTATAATTACCGTATCCCTGATTCGGTCCTTCCTTCATGCAGGATTCGATTGAATGAGCAACTGCTGACAATTTCTCACGGCTACAATGATCAGTGAGATGGATTGAGAGTCAAATGTGTGATAATTTTTTTTTAAAATCAGAAATAAAAGCTTAAAATGTTAGTCTGAAAAACTAAAACAACAGCAGACGAGAGAAAACATAGGGAAATGAAAGAATTTGGCGCGAAAGTTTAAGACGCATCAGGTCAGTGTCAGGTAACAATCATCCTTTGTGTGCAGCTCAGCTGAGCTCAGTTCCCCTGTAACACTGAATTTCAGTCCCTCTAAAGTGATATCCATGTAATAGTCGACATCATAAATTTAACTTTAAAAAAGTCTAAAAATTCGACTTTTACACACGTGTATATGGTATTCATCCCTTCAGTACATTTTCACACACCACGTCGTGATAAGTTAATACTGGAAGAAAACTGAAGTGCCAATACCTACCAATAAGTGCCACTATGAATGAGGTGCTGCTGTTGAACATACATGTGAATCTCTTCTTAACATAATAAAGGAATTATTTACTTAAGGAATGCATTCCCAGAAATTCAAAATGAATTTTAAAGAATCCGTGACTGTACTGAAAGTAGATATGTGAACTTTGTTTTGAATCTACTCTATACTCAATCAATTGAGCCCTAAAATAGGATGTGATTGAGTTAAATAGTTATTCTTTTCAACAGTTTAGCTGCAGAAAACCAAATGCTCCTTTTAAAACAAAATTAAGCTTTCATTGCTCCGTTACCTTTGGCTTTGTTTCTGGATGTGTGGGTGAAGGACCCTTTTTACCTTGATCCTGTTGTAAAGAGAAAATTGTTGTAAAATTCTTCTAAGGCATATCAGAATTATTTTAAATTTAGGGAAACCTGTACAGCAGCAGGATAAATACAATGCAATAAATTGGTATTACTAATTCAATTTGCATATATTGCACACATACCAATGTAGATCTCAGTAATCAAAAACCAAAATATTGTTAAATATCACAATATTCACTATACCAGTTTAGCTAGATTAAATCAACAGATTGTGTTATTGTGTATTGATTTCAGTTTTCTTCATAATTCTCCTTACAACCATGGTGACCTATAATTTCATAGAATCCCTACAGTGTGGAAACAGGCCCTTCAGCCCAACAAGTTCACACCAACCTTCAGACTTCCCACCCAGACCCATCCCCCTTTCACCCTACTAATCTACACATCCCTGAACGCTACGGGCAATTTAGCATGGCCACTCCATCTAACCTGCATAGCTTTGGACTGTGGCAGGAAACCGGAGCACCCAGAGGAAACCCACGCAGACACGGGGAGAACGTGCAAACTCCGCACAGACAGTTGCCCGAGAGTGGAATTGAACCCGGGTCCCTGGTGCTGTGAGGCAGCAGTGCTAACCACTGAGCCACCATGCCACCCTGAATTTCAAGTCAATTTCAATTGTTGCATCATTATTGTGGAATCTTTTATTTGCAACAGACCGTTGTACAGAAGTTTGATGTCAAAAATAATACTAGTTATATTTAAAAGATGTTGAAATTTCTTCTTTGCAGAAGGGGTTTACAACTGAGATCCTCTGTACTGTCAAATTAGGGATAAGTTCGGAGATCACATCTGTGGCATAAAGCCACCTCTGCCAACAATGTCAATCATTTCTCGTTCAGCAATTTTAAAGGAAGGAAAAGCATGGCAAAGGAAGTACACTTTAACTTCTCATAGGTTTTCGAGCTCAGAGTTGTCCCTGTATCATGACAGTAAAAGTGGATTCGAATTATTATTGACTGACTGAACCTTGGGATCAGATGGCTCTGTAAATCTGTACTCAGGAGGTATTGATTCTTCTGTTTCTCCAACACGCTCAGCCTTTTTCTTGGAATCACTGGATTCCTGCCAATAAAACAAAAACGCAAAAAATATATCTAAATTACATAAATATTAAGGTTCAATATTTATTTATGGCACTTTGATGACTGGTGGGATTAATCTGTAATGACAGCCTCCTGAAAATGCTGGAGAAATTCAAAATGTCTAGCAGTATTCTGTGGAGGGAGAAACAGAGCTAATATTTCAAGTTCAAAGTTACCCTTCTTCAGAATCAGTCACATCCGATGAATGGTCATTTTGGACTCAAAATTTTAACTCTGAGTCTCCACTGATACTGCCATATCTACTGAGTTTTTCCAACACTATTGCTTTTTTAAAATCAGCTTCTGGAGTACTTTGCTTTTATTATCATAGTTTTCAGGTTCAACTGAACACTCAAGATCAGGATAAATCTGTATAAGCATCAATGCAGCATCAAAAATGATTCACTTGCAATGAAAACGTGACTTCAGTGATGTCTGTACAAATTTTTGCCAGTCTTCTTCATACAGTTTTAATCATAGAATTGTACAATACATAGGGAAGAAGGGGTACTGTCCTGTGCTCCTCACTTAGAATATGCAGATATCGGGCTGAATTTTAGGGAGTGTCTCAGTTCCCTATCACTCCCATTAAGAAGTCAAGGAGCAGAGCACATCCACGATCCCAATGGCTGCCCCACAGCAATTTCACACAAGTCTCCCAAGTCCCTTCTTGGAGAGCCACAAACAATTGTACAGGTAGAAACTGTGCAGTCCCAGCACCGTCTGTGACCGCTCCTGTGATTCCAGGGGTGCAACAGTTCTGGAGTTAGTTCTCCTAGTGAGTGGGATGAGAGACTGTTGACTCAAATCTGAACATCTAAAGCTGCCAGACTTGTCGCATGGCTCGTCCCTGGCCCGCCATGGGGAAAATATCAGCAAAGGCAGGGCAAGGCATTAAACTGCCATCCAACATCTCCCTTATCCCTGTAAAACATCACATGGTTTGGGGGAAGACTAAATAGATAGGAATCTAGTCAAGTTAAACAAAGAACTTACATACTGGAGGCCTGAAACAAACAAAACCAGAAACAGCTGGAGAAGCTCAGTAGGTCTAGCAGCAATGGTGAAGAGAAAACAAAGTTAATGTTCTGAAAAAGGGTCACTGGACTCGAATTTCTGTTTTACTCTCCACAAACGCTGTCAAACCTGCTGAGTCTCTTCGGCAGTTTCTGTTTTTATTTGTTTTAGGAATCTAGTGGACCTGGGTTGTACTCTGAACTTCAACTCCCATCTCCTTAGTCCCTTTCTCCTTCATCTGGAATCTCACATTTTCCTGCTTACTGATTCTTGGAATATGACTTTTACTCTTTAGCATATAGTTCAACTTACCGATTGTTTTCTCAAAGTTTACTACTTCAGTTTCTCTTCATTGAACTGTAGCTCCCTACTTCACAAACCTTGTGCATTATTCCTCATAATTTGTCCTGTCCTTTATTTTAGTGTAGGTAGCAACATTTTTACATTTATTTACGATTATGTCCAAATAATTTACATAAATGGAAAACAAACGAGGTCCATAGATTCCTGGAAACATCACTAACCACATTCTGCTTATCATAAAAAACCTCTTTCTCCTATTCATACATGTAAAAAATAAAAAGTGAGTAAACACCACTGTGCTCTTTGGTGATTCATCAGAGTGCAAAGTCTCTAGCACTATGCTTAAAGCTTAATAAGGCTAGTATCTTACTCTTTGCTTTCTATCTTTTAACCTCTCTAGGTATTAATATCAGTCACTTTAACTTCCAAAACAAATCTCTTAGATGTTAAACTAACATATCAACTGCCTACATCTGTGGATGTAAAAGATCCCAGTCTATTATTTAAATTTTGTATCATGAAATAATTGCCATATTTAGGTAGGTATCAGTAACCATACTTCAAAACTACCTCAGTGGCTGGGAGCATTACAGGATGCATGCTGAATGCTATATAAATTGAGTGACATCTATCATTCTTTTGTGTTTATATGATACAATCAAGAGAATTCTTATTCTTAGATTTAATACATCACAATAAGATTTCCTGTGTACCTTAACCTCCGGCCCAGTATATTTAGGAATAGAAGGATCTGGTCCTTGTGATGGAAGTGTGTCCACAAGCTGGTCCACAGCACTCAACATGGGTTTTTTATCCTTTCAAAGACAAAATGAACACATTTCAGTTTTAATACTGTTCTTAGTTACAATGTACCTAGAGAACACTTGGGCACATATGTAAAAACAAACATCACATATTGCATAAAAATATCATGCAGTACAGACATTTCAGCTGAACATTTACCTGATTCAGATCTTGGTTGATAGGGAACCAAAGCAGGGAATTGGAATATACACCTAACATCTAATTGAATGTTACAACAGCCTTGAGCAGCCTACTTCTTCTCCTATGGAATTAGAAACGGTCTATGTTGATGTGATTATGTTACAGAAAGTTGCACTTCAACAATTTCTTCTGCTCGGAAGCTTCTTACTTTCCCAAATCAACAAGTATCATTATTTGCAATCACTTTTCATAGTTATTTAAATTAAAGAGTTCGCACCCACTGACAATTACAAGCATACTCCATTAAATCACTCTTCACACAATCCTAAGTTTCAGCAGCATTTATCATATCACTTAACTGGACTTCACAGTACACCCAATCTTCAACCACGCTAACAGCTAGTTCAATCTTTATGTTTTGTGTTTTAACCACAACCAGGTCACCTAATTATTATCACATGTCCTCAAATACATGCCCATATCACTCCTGACTCACCTGCCTGATTATTACCCTCACTGAATGCAATCTTTGGGTGCATACATGCTTTCCACACATAGGTCTGTCATGCTGCACTTCAGGAGAACAAGCACAAAATAAAGGAAAGGGAGATCTACTACCATGAATTGTGAAGCTAGCTAATGGAGAACAGAAGGCTTTTGACTTAAGTGACAGGTCAGCATCCCAGGGAATTGGAGATGGCAAGACTTTGACTTCATGGGGACAACTTTAAATATGTCTGACCCACAGCTCAAAATACAATCTCTCTACAGATGCTGCCTGACCTGTTGAGTATTTCCAGAATTTTCTGTTTTTCAGATTTTCAGCACTTGCAGTACTTTTCTAAATTAGTGCTCAAAAGGTTTTAGCCTGGAGTGACACCCCATCCCTCCATTCCAGCAAAAGAACGGGGTTCTTGACATTCAGCCTCTTGTGTTTTTCACAGCAGTTAAGATGAAATAAAAGTAAGGAACCACTGTCATTTGGAAACAACTCACTGCCAGCAAAAATACTATGAAACCTTAACTTCAAAACAAACATAAATGCTCTAAGATCAACAAATGATTGCAGCAAGAGATTAGAAAATATGTGGATGTAAAGAGCAGAAACCAAGCCAACAAAAACTTCCTGCTCACCACTGTTGATGATCTGAATTTTGACGAGGCCAAATTGTAAAATGAACAGCCAAAAACTAGCAGCTGAAATTAAACATGTTTTCCAGTCTGCCAACATCTATTGCATATAAATGTGCAGGGTAATTATTCCTGCTTTATTGAATAATACTTACAATTGGAACTACAACAATATCAATTACATTAACTAGTTTGCAAATCCTAACCAATGGCTTTAAATTTTATGCTATCATTGAGGCAGCCTGTTCTCATTCAATATGGCAGCTTCAAGATCCACGTCTTGTTCCCTTCTTTTCGTCCAAGAACTTAGAAGCACGTTATGTTGAACTTCTGATCTCACATTTCATCTCAAAACAACACTTTTTGACAACATTTTAATGTGAAATATCTTTTTCAGACTGATGTTTTGATTATTAATTGTATCAGTTCATCTGGTAGGAGAAATATGAAATTACTTTAACCTCCAATTATTCTTCTAGAGATGCAATTCTTGTTTTCTTCCAGTCAATACTACAACTTTCCAAAGACTTAATAAAGGTTGCTTTTAAGGTGAGCACCTCCTTATCAATCATCTTGGTTACCTTACTTACAGTTTGCCTTCATCTTCTAAATGCCTTGATAGTAAATCTTCTTTGAAAGGCATACTGTTGGCATATTCTGTAACTCTGCGATATGATTGCTTAGTGTTCAATGAGGGATTAGACTAAAATTAGACAGTCACCAGTCCATAATTGTGTTTGCTGGAGATGCGATATGCAGATACTTATTCACAAGTAAAAACAGTAACTCCAGATTTAAATGATGCTGATGGAAAGGAAGAAGGCCATTCAATCTATCACTCTCGCAAAGACTATTTGAAAGAACTACACAATTTGTCCGAACCTCCAGCTTTTTAAAAAATTAAATCATAGGAGAAGGGTGTCACTGGCAAGGCCAGCATTTATTACCCATCCCTATTTGCTCCTCGGAAGGTGGTTATGAGCTGCTTTTCAAACTGCTCCAGTCCATTTGCTGTGGCTGGGCGCACAGTGCTGTTAGGGAAAGTTTTCCAAGATTTTCACCCACTGTCAATGAAGGAATGCCAATGTGATTCCAAAGAAGGATACCAAGTGGCTCGGAGGGGAACTTGCAACTTGTAGTGTTCCCAGACGGTAGTGTTTTTGGGTTTGGAAGGTGCTGTCTAAGGATTTCTGGTGAATTTCTGCAATGCATCCAATAGCTGGTAACCAACCACTGCTACTGTGCATCAGTGAGAAAGGAGTGAACATTTGCGGATGTGGTGCCAGTCACACAGGCTGCTTTGGGCTAGATGGCATCAAGATTTTTTGAGTGCTGTTGAAGCTACACTCATCCAGGCAAGTATTTCATCACAGTCCTGACTTGTGTCTCGTAGATGGTGGACAGTCTTTGAGTCAGGAGGTGAGTTACTCACTGCAAGATTACTAACTTCTGATCTGCTCTTGTAGCCACAGCATTTACATGGCCTGTCTAGTTTAGCTTCTGGTCAATGGTACCCCCCAAGATGTTGATACTGAGCAGAATTCAATGATGGTAACATCATTGAATGCCAAAGGGCAATGATTAGACTCTCTTTTGTTTGAGAGTTACTACCGAAAATCTCCGTTTCAGGCCATGCATTCTGGAGCAATACAATCACGAGAGTCTTGAAATGTCCATTTTGGGTTCTTCTGTCTATTATCTTAAACCTGTGTCCTCTGACTACCAACTCTCCAGCCAGTAGAAACAGACTCTATCAAAACTTTTAATAATTTTGAACAATACTAAAGCTCTCAACCTTGGCTAATTATATTTTATGAAGCAGTCAAGTTGAGGTACATATACCTTAAAATCACCAATATATTTGATACTTTCTGATTTATATCCTACACCACATTTCATGCAATAAACAGATCTTTATACTACTTTGATGTAGGTCACCAGTGAATATGTACAGACAGCTAAATTAAAGACTAGTTCAATTTTTCATCTATGCTCTGTAACACTATTGTACTTATTGTACGCCATTTTATAAAACTCGGCAAAAAATAACTGTGACAGTTATCCTTAATGTGGTTATTTTAAACATCATTAATTACTTCTGCAAGATCTTTGTTAATTTTCATATTAATTAAGCATTCTTAAGTAAAATAGACAATGATTATAGAGATGTTTTATCTAATTAAATAGATTACTTTTCCATGCTAATTTTTACTTCCTTAACAAACAAAATTTATTAAAATAATCCTCGAGCGATCAGGCTGGGAATCACAAGACTACTGACTAATTTAGTTCAAAGACTGTTTGACTAGTGAAAATGGTTTAATCAGTTTACAGATACCCCAGGTGTTGTACTCCCCCGAGCACAGGTTTAGTAGAAATATCAGTCAACAGCATTTTCCCTCCAGTTGCAAAAAAATTCTGCTGACGGATCAAATGGTCTAACAATGAATTGTCACTATTCCTGATTTGTCATTTAGTTTCCAATCAGACTTCCAGTAATATTTTTATATCAATGGCTAGCTTGTATATGTAATTCTAAAACAGTCCAGAACATGTGATATTAGTCACAAGATTCAAATGAATAGTTGAGTAAGAATTCATTATTATTTCCAGTCTATACCTTAAAACATGCAGCAACTAGTCAAACAGTCAAATATGGGCAACTTTAAGAAATAGAGTTGCAGTCAAACATTTTGAAATGCAATAAATTTAATTTACTTCATTGTAAAGCTAATTTTGAAGAGCAATGCAAGTTTTTTTTAATCTCTAAATTAAACAAAAATATATATAATGACATGTGGTCATAAAGTCCATTCCTACCTGAAGCTTTGGCTCTGTAGTCTTGTGAACTGAAGCTTCTGGCATGGATTTTGTGGGAGACTTTTCCTTTGTATCCTTTAGATAATGAAGAAACAATTTTCAATACTTAGATCTCACCCTTCCGAAACTGTATACTGAGAGCACTGAGTCCTGCAGCTCACAGCTGCACACATTTACCCCATTGTACATGAGTTGATTCTTTGAAAGAGTTACCACTTGTTCACTCCCCTACTCTTCTGTCAGTTGCAGGGTAATTCCAGCTTGGCAAAACAGCAAGAAGTGGCATGACACAGAAAGCACTTCACTGAGAAAAATAGCATATGATGAAATGCTTTCTCCGGCTACAGCTGCTCAATGTTGTCCTTAAGGATCATCTGCAGTCACCACCATTGACAGTTAGCACCTCAGAGACCTACTGCTATGTTAACTGGGGTGTATAACATCTGATAGGAAGACAAAAACTCTTACAAGCCTCCTTTTAGTGATTTTGGTTGTTCCTATTTGTATTCCTTGCTCTGTTTGTATGTTATGATCTGCCTATACTGCGTGCAAAACAAAACTTTTCACTGTACTTAGGTACATGTGACAATAATAAATCAAATATTACAGTTGCTCCTCTGACCACAAAGCAATTTGTAGAAGGCTGTCATAAAGAAATAAATCTCAAAAGGTTTGAGTTCAAAATGTTCCATAGGTGTTTCATGAACCGTGAAAACATTCAAGTCGAAAAAAACGGAGTGAAATGCAAGCAAATTGTCCCCCAGTGCTTTCCACAGCCCAGGGCAGCAGAAGATCCCTTTAAGTACTGCCTGGCAATGATTACCTCTCATCTTCTATCAGCCATGATTTGTGATAGGAACATGAACTGGCAATGACCTTGGCAGTATGCCAAGAAAGAGTATTGGATCTTGGCTCTGATTGCCAGACATTAACATGCCCAAGCTATTTCTGGGAGAACCTCTGGGTGCCTAGATGAAAACAAACACAAAAATGCAGCATTAAGTCAGCACTTCCAATCCTTTCTTCCCATTCGTGGAATGTGGGCATTGCTGGCTGGGTCAGCCTTTCTTGCTCCTCACTTGCTGCACTTGAGAAGATGGTAGTGGGCTGCCTTCTTGATCCACTGCAGTCCATGTACTGCAGGTAGACCCACAATGACATTACAGCAGTAGTTCCAGGATTCTGAGCCAGTAATACTGAAGGAACGGTGATATATTTCCAAGTCAGGAAGATGATTGGCTTGGAGACAAGCTTGCAGGTGATCACGTTGCCATGCACCTGCTGTTTTTGTCCTTCTAGATAGAAGCGGTTGTGGGTTTGGAAGGTGCGATCTAAGGAGCCTTGGTGAATTTGTGTAGTGCATCTTGTAGATGGTACACATTGCTGCTGAGTGTCAGAGGCAGTGGAAGTGGATGTTTGTGCATGTGACACCAATCTAGAGGGCTACTTTGTTCCAGACAAGCTTTCTGAGTGTTGTTGGAGCTGCACTGATCAAGGCAAGTGGAGAACATTCCATCACAAACTTGACTTGTGCTTTATAGATGGTGGGCAGCTCTGGAGAGTCAGGTGGTCAGTTACCAGTTGCAGGCTTCCTTGCCTCTGACCTGCTGTTGTGGCCATTGTATTTATTTGGTTAGTTTAGTTTAATTTCCAGCCATAAAAACTCCCAGGATGTTGATAGTAGGGGATTCAGGGATGGTAACTCCTTTGAATGTTAATTTGGTTAGATTTTCTCTTGTTGGAGATGGTCATTGCCTGGCATTTGTGTGGCACAAATGTTACTTGCTAGCCCAAACCTGGATATTGTCCAGGTCTTACTGCATCGTCATGCAGTATTTTGGTCATGATAGGCTTCTCAAATTACAAGTATGAATAGGGTGGCAGTGACCCAAAAAATCACTGACAATATGTTAAGCTAAACAATTTCTCCTCAAGAACCAGTTTTTCAAGGTTATTCAGTGTTTGCAAAACATGGCTCATGTAATCTTTTTTTTGACTTCTTTAAATCCCAGTTAAAATGTCAGTTTTGATATAACTTACCACTGGGGCAGACCTGCTCCATCCCAGGCCCATTGTGCTTTGTGGTTGTTGCTGTTTCCCTCCAGTGGCTCCAGTTGGTTTTGTTGAATGGCTAGATGCGGACTTGTCCTGATGAAGCAATTCCGAAAAACAGCATTAAAAAAGCAGAAGCATGTAACAAATATGCTGTAAAAATGACCAGAGAAAAAAGTTCTCTTTCCATCAAACCAACTGAAATTTGTCTTAGGAAGTAGTAAACAAAAATAGGTGAACGTAGATGGACAACCTGTAGTATGCTCCGTCTGATTTCTTGAATTGAGTTTAAAATCAGCTGCTGAAAATGCTATGGCTCTCAGATCGTCTTTTCAATTTCACCCTCAGCTATTGATGAAATTCATATTTCTTCCTTTGTGTGGTGGTTGAATTAAATTTCAATCCTTATTGCTTTTCCCCTCCACCCAAACATTTAGACAATTCTCCCAAGCTGCCTTCTTTACTTTTAATGTTCATTATTATCTTCAACTTCCCTGAAAAAATTCTTGAAGACATGTTTAGAGCCATTTTGCTCTCTCCAGGACTTTCAACAGATGAAAATGAGATGGAAGGCATCATGTTGAATTCCTAACCCGAGAAACTGGCGGGACTGTTTTCTTTCATCCCCTTTGGAATCAGTCTGTAACACTGTCTACTAATTCACCTGCTACACATAAACAGAAGTAGACATTTAAAGCCAAAAAAGAAAGAACGAAATTATCTTGAGAACTGCCCACACCTCAGCCATGGTGAGAAAGATGAGAAGCATCAGTGGGAGTCAAAAGTCTGATTCAACACCACAGATGCTATATAGCTCTACACACAAGTAGCCAGATCTCTAAGCATACAAGCCAAAGTGGTCCTATTTGAAATACTAGTCAATGGTCAAGAAATAGGAGATTCCGTCCAGCTGCAGTTTCTGATGTATGCTGGCTGCTTGCAGAGGCCTTATAGCTCACCCCTCCAGATCAATGCATTTTCAGCAGCAGTAAACTAACCATAGCTTAGAACATCTCTGCACATGATTCCTTTCAAGCTAGATTAATGAATATTATCTAGGTTCTCCAGTTGGGAGTCCATCGCTCTTTAAACAAGGACATTGACAACTTGTTTAGGTTAATATCCTATTTAGTTCTTCCAGACACATCACTTTCTCTTTGAAAAAAAGAAGGTTATTTAATAAAGGTCTTTAAAATTATGAAAGCTTTTGATAGATAAGAAAAGACGACCATGTTATCATTTGTGGTAAGGAAACTAAATAGGGGCCATCGTATATGACAGAAACCTAATAGGGAATTTTGCAGAAACTTCTTCCTGTAAAGAATGGTGAAAGTGGAACTCAGTGATGAGATGAACAACAAATACATTTAAGGATAAGCTAGATAAACATTTGATGGAGCAGGGTGAGAATTTCATGATGACAGATTTAGATGAGAAAAGATGGGAGGAGGCAGGAGTGATTGCGCCAAATGTTTAAATGCTATATATGCTAGGTAACTGCCTATCAAAACTGTGCCAAAAATGTGAGTGTAAGGTGTACACACCATTATGGACCTGAAACAGCACATGTAGAACTGAAAGTACTGGAATGATGCAAACCAATGCAAACCAATTTTTTGATCAATGTTCAATATTGATGTCAATAGCACTTCTAAATATTTTCCAATGGCTGGGCATTTCAAGTTAACACAGAATTCGGTGTAAAAAAAATCTCCTTTGACCTTTTTTAAAAATGATTTCATGAAAACAGAAATGAACATGTTAAGTCAGCAATCTCTGTTACAGTTGTGGAAGAAAACACAATTGGACATAGTGTAGGCGTTGTTATTAGGATTCTTTATACAACACATTACCGGGAGTTTGTAAGGGTGTATAGTGCCATTTTCTATAATTCTGGTAGTGTCTGTGACTAATGAAAACAATAGACTCTCCCAAAAAATGTATCACCTGTTCTTATGCTCAATGTATGGAAGACCATTTTCTGATTGATCTTGCATAAGTAGGATTTTTCTGCTGTAAAGTAGTTTATAATTGAAGAGTAGTCTTAGACTTCATTTAGGGCGAGCTTAAAATTACAGCTCCTTTTCTTGACAGTGAAGGAGTCAACATATTTTAAATGTTAATCCTTAGGTGCTCACCAACAGACTTCAAACGTCAACTTTTCCGAACACATCAATTCTTAACCATCATATTTCATGGAGCTTATTCAAAAGGGTATAATAACTCTTTAACAGAATGAAACTTCTGTATCATTCTAGTTAAAAATGGCAGAAATTCTGCACATCAAGCCCCATCAATATCAGGGTCATTGAATCATTTATGGCACAGGAGGAGGCCAATCAGTCCATCAAGTCCATACTGACAGCCCAGAGAGCAATCAGTCCTAATCTTCCACTCAGATACCACAGCCCTGCAGGCTTACTTCCTTCAAATGCCCATACAATGTCTTTTTAAAATCATTGACTTATTTCTGTTTCTGCCACCCTCAAGGACAGTGAGTTCTATATCATTACCACCTGCTATGTAAAAATATTCTGCATGCTCCCCCACATCTCTTTAAATCTGTGCATCCCAGTCCTGGTACTAAAAGCTCATTGGAGCAACTTTATCTTGCCTACCTTATCCAAACCCAACTCTCATCTTGTATGCCCCTATCGCATGTCTCCTTACTCTCCTCTGATCCAATCTAGTCTTTACCTAAAAGTCCTTCATCTTGGAACTATTTTGATAAATCTTTCCTGCATCTTCTCTTAAGGATCCTCACATCCTTCCTCATGTGTGGTCACCTGAACTGGAAGCAAATGTTAATTGAAGTCTAATCAGAGCTTTTGTAAAGGTTCAGCAAAACCTCATGCTTTTGCACTTAATGCCTCTATTTCTGAAACCCAAGACTCCAATGTTTTATCAACCATTCTCTCAATACATTCTATTATCTTCAAAGATGCACTCCTAGGTCCTTCTGCCCCTGTACAAGTTGTGCCATTAAGTCTATATTGCCTCTCTCTATCCTTCTACAAAAATACATCACCTCTTATCCGGCTGTCTACTTTCTTGTCCATTGTTATCCTATTGTGATAATATAGACTAGAACTTTAATAACTGTTCATGGACTAAACAAATCAACAAAACTTGAACTATTACACACAGCAATAACTTTGTCTGGAATAAACTGTTAAGGAACAAAGACAAGCTATTATACAGCCTCAAGCAATTAGCCATGTCTTGGACAGACTACACAGACAAAACTGCTTTGACACCTGCTTGATAAACTGGATGCTTAATTGCCACAAGGACAACTGAATGCTCTACAGAAGAATTTAAGGAGTTAACCGCAGAAAAGCTGCGTCTTTGAACAGATAGCCAATGCCAAATGTAACAAGAAACAAAGTAATTACTTTTGATAAGGGAGCCAGCTGCAGTCTTGCAGTAATTTAGATGAAAGACTCAAAGAAATCATCAACATATCACTTCGGGGACTGAAGGACGAAAATCTGTATAAGAGACGACCACCACATCAACTCAACGGTGGAAATTCAAAGAACAATGCTGCAGAAGGACCAAACCATGGAAGCTTTCAGAGACAGAATGCTGTTGGTTGATGTCCTGGCTAGATTTCACCATTAATCAGGTAATAGCCAAATTGGCTTACAGGCATATATTTGCTTACTTGCAGTAAAGTTTGATTTATTGTTTCAGCACTTGATTGTCTGTGAGATTTCTTAATAAGTAGCTAAATTAAAGGTAAATTCGGAGTTTACCCATAACACTATATGTTTTGTTGCAAGTGATTTATATCATCTTTGCTGTTTGTCATTCCTTCAAGTTTTGGCATAATCAGACTGTGTAAATTTTTCATTTATTTTGAACAGGCTTGCTTATTTATTATATCAATAGAAAACTGCTGTGGTAGGAGGTGGGGCACAAACACTAATTAATGAGGGGAGATGTTTGGAGGAAGGAGGTCGGTCATACAATGAAAGCCGCAGGAAAACACCCAACGGGAATTGGCAACATGATGTGTTGAATCAAAAATTTAATCTTTCTGCAGGGCGTTCTTAGCCCCCTCACAGAATGCCTGCAGCATTGTTTACTCTTTTAGTTAATGTATTTTAATAATCTAATATAACTTAACCCTCGAATAGTGGGTGGTCACATGTACTAAGTGATCACGAATTGCGAAGCAGTTGAATCTTCATTAGTTTGCAGAACAGAATGAAAACTAATGTTTAAGGTAAAGATTGATAGATTTCTGATTATCTGTGGTTTACAGGCTTATGGGATAGAGCAGGGTGGGGAAAAGGCATTTAAATGTATGATCAGCCATGAATGTACTGACAGGTGGGGCAGGTTCAATAGGCTGAATGACCTACTCTTGTTTTTATGTTCCCATGATGACAAAAATGTTAACTTGGGGGATGGTGTGGTGTTGGCAGATCTCTATATCCTCTGATGTATTGTACATACCTTTGTGTGATGGGTGGGATAAGTCTAAATTTGGACTATTGGGTATGGTGATTATGAAGTTTAACATACTTAATAAAAGTTAGCTAGGCAATTTGGTTTCAAATCCTGCAGATCTGAGCAGGTTGACTAAAATGACCATTTGACAATAGTGGTCTTGTCTCATTCGTTGTATTTGAAGCAGAAGTAGAATTAGAATTAAGTTTTATTGTCACATGTACTCAAGTGCAGGAATACAGAACTACAGTGAAAAGTTTACAATGTACCCATTCACGTTGCCATCTTAGGTACAAGGTACAAAATCTTAGGTAAAAAGTAGAAAAATAAAGAAATAAGTTAAAAGTTCAACATTACAGTTCTTCTCAGTACAAAGTAGTAAATAAGAAATAAAGTTAAGTGAACAAGAGATAAAGAAGTAGCCTTACATTTTGTGTGTAAGCTGTGGCCTGTTTCCCCACTGTAAACAAGGCTGCAATCTCATGGTGGGTTGTTAATTCCTGTTTTATACGAAGTAGGTATCTCGCCTTTGTAGGTATCTCGCCTTTGTAGGTATGAGAGAGAGTTTGGCTTCTTTGATGACCTATGTTGGACAGGTATGAGTCTGACTTGAGAATATGTTGCAATCTGCCATACAGGAGGGTAACTTGATTTGTGAAATTGTTTGCTGTGGAGTGAGAAACTGAAGGCACGTGTCAATCTTTTAGCAAAGAAATCAGTTCAGTTTAAGCATAGACTTATTATGGCAAAGTTCTTGTAAATGTTTTTCATTATGGAGTAAACTCGTCTAATGAAGGTCTTCGAAATTGATTAGAGGGTGAAAGAATGGTAGAAAGATCAATAATTTGAGCATTTGTCTACGTGAATGGGCTTATAGTCATCTTTATGTACGGGTATACCACTGTAAGACTTGCGATGAGGACATCAAGGAATGGTACGGAAAGATGTTGTTCTGTGTCCTTTGTAAAATTATAACTCAAATGTTGATAGCCTCCTACAACACCTTAAAGAGTCTCAATGCTTATACTGGACTATCCTTACTGAAGAAACACATTACCATCCATACTGCACAGTTAGCCAAGCAGCAGCAAGAATGTTAACATGTACTCAACTATTACAAACACAATAACCTTGCCTATCAGCAGTAAGATTCCATGCATATACTCACGCTGCACAATAAACTTCCTGTTTCAATTTATCCAGTCATTCCGCCAGACAATGTTGCCCAAAACACTGAGGCTCATCAGTTCTCCTAAGGAACACTTTTAAGGTAAAAGCTGATCTTTTTAGAGCAATTTTCACATCATATAGCTGTGTTCAGCATCTTACAGTTCCCATTTGAAAATGTTTTAAAAACCTTTAAAGGAAATATTGCTGATATGACACAAATGATTGAATGCTTGACTGACAAGATAGCTTTTAAGATGTGTCATAAAAGAGGAAAGTGAAATAGAATGGTTAATCCAGATCTTGGGGCCTGAGCAGCTGAGGGCATGGTTACCAACAGTAGAGCAATTAAAACTGGGGATGCACAAGATGGCAGGACCAGATATTTCACAGTAATGTAGAGAGATTACAGATATAGGCAGGGACAATGCCATGGAAGGATTTGTAAACAACAATAAGAAATTTGAAAATGAGATGTTGCTTGATCAGGAGGCAAGTAGGTCAACAAGTACAGAAGTGATAGGGAAATGGGTCTTTTTGCAAGAAAAGCATAGGCATCAATGTTTTGGATGACACACACTTACAGTGGGTTGAATATAGCAAGGCAGACAGGAGTGCCTTTGAATAGTTGAGTCTGCAGTGAATGAAATCATGAATGAGGGTTTCAGCAACAGATGGGGTGACACAGCGGTGACATTGGATAATATTATGGAGTTGGAAATGAGTGGCCTTAGTGATGGTATGAAATTGTGGTCCGAACCTCACCTTGGGGTCACAACATGACATCAAGGCTGCAAACACATTAGTTTGATCTTACACTCTTGCATGGAGAGGAGTAGATTTGCTACTTCTTTGAAGTGGGGACTGAAAACAATGACTTTGGTCTTCCCAATTTTTAACTGGAGGGATTTTCCGTTTATCCAGTGCTGGATGTTGCAAAAGAAATTTGATTATTTTACAACAGTGCAGGAGTTGACAGAGTTGGGAGTGAGGTACAGCCACATGTCACCTGTATAATTTGAGGAGATGGGAAATGAGTGGGTGGGGTGGGGTGGGGTGGGGGGAGAGACAAAGACAAATCACTGAAATATGCCCGAGATTAACAATACAGGAGCCTTGCAATTGATACACTCATTTTGATTAGACAGACAAGAAAGGGACAAGTTTGCAGGAAGTCCCCACCCAACTGGATGGCAATAGAGAAGTGTTGGGGGAAGATGGTGTGGTTACCGTGTGAAGCTGCAGACAGTTGAGAAGGACATGGAGAGAACATTTAACTTTGTCACATTCACATAAAAGACGTAAATTTGTGACTTTGATAAGAATGGATTTGTTACTGTGCCAAGTGTGAAAACTTAACTGGACAGATTCAACATGGGAGATTCGGAAAAGCTGGGAACTGATGAGGGAGGCAATAACATATTCAAGGACTTTGCAGAGGAAAGGGAGGTTTGGGGATGGGAAGGTAGTTTGAAATGATGTGGGGTCATTGATTGGTTTTATAAGGAGAGGGGCGATGCCAGCAAATGTAGAGAGGGACAACTCTGAAGCAAGAGAGAAGCATTTCCATTATTGGCTAACATGGGGACGAGAACGGGAAGTTTGGTGATCGGCAATTTAGTGAGAATGGGACTGAGGGAGCATGATGTGGGTTTCAAGGACAAGATGAGTTCAGAGAGGGAGGGAAACTCAAGAAAGATGCAAGCATTAAATAATGTTTAACTAGATGGGCTGGATGAAGGGAGGGACATGACACAAACAGTTCATCACACTGGCAAAATCTATGTGGCAAAGAAGTCCATGATCTCCTCACACTTGTTGGAGAAGGTGTGGATGGAAGGGTCAGATGGAAGGCTTTTGGAAGATGGTTTACAGTAGAGAAAAGAAGTGGGGGTTATCTTTATGCCCTCAGATGTCCCCATCGTCTTTAGTTCTCAGACACAAGGGTACTAAGATAACACCATACCTGAGTTATGGCCAGAGTGAACCCAAATACATTGCAAAGTATATGAAAAACAGTTCACACGTACAATTTTTGTGGTCCTCATTCTGTTTGTGATTCTGGTCCTCGACAAATGCCAGGATACCAGAAGTACACCAGGCCAGTCCTGCCAAAGCTGCTCCTAATTTTGGCAGACCAAGCACTAACAAACATTCAAGTGCATGTCAACAAGCAAGCCTGGCCACCTAGGGACAGGAATTTCTTTGAAAACAAGTTATATTAATCCTTTTAAAGAGCTGGAGAAGGAGGGGCAGCAGTAATTGGGAATTGGATAATTGGGCTAGTTTCTAGCAGCATTGGCCAGGCAGGATCCCAAATACATCAGAAGTCTAAGAAACAATTGCTTGTAAAGTACACTGAATAGTCACCCTTCCTGAAAGGCTTCTTCACTGTACAGAGATGGAGGAACACAGCAGGCCAGGCAGCATCAGAGGAGCAGGAAAGCTGACGTTTCGGGTCAGGACCCTTCTTCAGAAATGAATCAAGCCCAAGAAGTCCACACTGAACCTCAGAGCATCCCACCCAAACCCAACTCACCTAATCTACACATCCCTATGGGCAATTTAGCATGGCCAATCCACCTAACCTGCACATCTTTGGACTGTGGGAGGAAACCGGAGCACCCGGAGGAAACCCACGCAGACACAGGGAGAACGTGCAAACTCCACACAGACAGTCACCCGAGGCTGGAATCGAACCTGGGTCCCTGGAGCTGTGAGGCACCAGTGCTAACCACTGAGCTACCGTCCTGCCCCACGTTCTTACTATCTCTTCTTCACTGTAAATTTTCTCTTACAAAAAAGAAATGATTGAAGCTTTGCAATTACTAACATTTCACAGCAACATGTAGCAGTATTTGAAATCATTCTTATGCGATTATTATGGAATACTTTTACCTTGCTTGAGTCTGTTGACTTGTGTGCAGCTGCTGGTTTTGGCTTATCTGATGGCTAGAATGGAAAAAAGAAAGCAAATGAGATGATAAAATCAGTAATGCTTCTGGTGTTGTATTCTGAACATTGCATGAAACAATAATGGTTGAAAGCACACATTAGGATTCAGTTTTCAGCAGGCTACAGTAGTTTTCCGAACAAAAGAATGGGTTATTATGCAGAGTAATTGTGTGAAGTTAGGAGGTATATGAATGTACCAGAGATAGCCAATGACTGAAAAGTACTAACACCTACCTGGCTGCAAAAACACTACATTTCTGTGACAAAATAAATCACATTTGCAGAAAAAACCACCACCTTCTCAAAAGGTAACAAGTCATGACAATAAGTGCTGGCTAGCCAGTGACGCACATGTCCCAGGAGTGTACAAAAAATGTTGGCACTTTAAAAAAAAACTTATCATTCTTGCTGCAAAGGAACCAGTTTATTTGCTTTATATTCAGTCCCTGGCAACCCAAGTTTCATGTGCACATTTCCTTAAATCAGAAAAACACACAAGGCTCTGCAAACTACTACAGTGCAATGGCTCAAACATGTATCAGCTATTAGCAAGAAACTAAAGGCAAGACAAAACAAGCAACCTGAATTTAGAATTTAGCGATTAATCATCCAAGCTAACTTATTGAGACAACTGGTTAAGTTGCCTCAAAGTAGAGTATTTTTGTCAGGTTCAAACTGAACAGAAAGTATGAAGGAAGTGCATACACAAGCTAAAGTGTGAACTGTGACTTGGGTATTGAGAATCCTGCTTATGAAAATTAATTAGAAATCTCAATAATAAATGCCTCCACATCGCAAGGTTTTATTTTAATTATTTCATGACATGTGGGCTATATTGGCAAGGCCAACATATATTGCCCATCCCTTACTGCTCTTGAAATTAATAACTTGCTTGGCCATTTGAGAGGGCAGTTAAGAATCAACCACATTGTTGTGGGTGTGGAGTCACATGTAGACCAGACCAGCCATGAATGGCCAATTTTCTTTCTTAAAGAACATTTTTGAACCGTGGAATTTTATAATTGATGATAGTTTCATGATCACCACTACCAAAGACAGTTTTACATTCCAGATTTATTCACTGAATATTAATCTGTTGGCTGCCATAGTGAAATTTTTATCTATGCTCCTGAAGGCATGGGCCTGGACTCTAGATTGCTAATCCAGTGACTTCACTGCTAAGACACCATCTTCCAGTCTCCGGAGTCCAGAAGAAAAGTAGTTTTGTTTTAATTTATTTTCTAGATGTAGTGAAAAATCAAGAAGAAAAACTTGCTAACGCATATTTTCTACAATAAAAGGACATCTTAGGAAATATCTCATGATAACAACAGCTTCTGCCTATGGTACAGTAGGTTTCGCAATGCACACATGCTTTGTTTTGTGAGGGAGAGGTAGATGGTAGTGGAGAAGAAATCACATGGGAAGCATTAACCTTGGATGATCAGAGCAAATTTACTGGTTCCTTTGCAGCAAGAATGATAAGTTTTTCTAAAGTGCCAACATCTTTTTATACACTCTTGGGGCCATGTGCGTCACTGGCTAGCCAGCACTTATTGCCATGACTTGTTACTTTTTGAGAAGGTGGGTTTTTTTTCTGCAAATGTGATTTATTTTGTCATGGAAATGTAGTGTTTTTGCAGCCAGGTAGGTGTTGGCACTTTTCTGGTACATTCTGGTATTTCTGGTACATTCATATACCTCCTAATTTCACACAATTACTCTGCATAATAACCCATTCCTTTGTTTGGAAAACTACTGTAGCCTGCTGAAAACTGAATCCTAATGAGTGCTTTCCATCATCATTGCATGCAACAATGTTCAGAATACAGCTTGGCAGGTGTGTTTCATGAAGAAATCAAGAAGTTTGAATACAGCAATGCTACCTGCACAAGAGCTCCAGCGTGTCATGAAGGAGCTTTGTTGCCAATTGTAGATAGGAAAGAGGATATATTCTTTGGTCAGTCAAACCAGGTTGTTTTATGAAATGTCTTCTCACACAAAGGGGAGAAAAAATAACGAGATAACAGATAATAATTTGTCAAGTTACATGGTGAGTTTAAAGAAACGGTAGATTTTCAAGACATCTGTTAAAATCAAACTAGTGTTTCATATAAATTTATGCTTCCTTGTTTCTACATTCAATGGTCTCTTTATAAAGTCCAGGGAGCTTTATAATTTGTTAACCATTCTTCTGATTTGACTGCCATTTTCAATGATTCATGCACATATAACCCTTGATCCTTTGGCTCTTGCGCACCCTTTTGGTTGTGGTATCTCTCGCAGCTGAAATGCAATACAAAAAGAAATATGTTTGCTATATTTAGCCCTGTAACATGGGGAAGCCTGTAATATTTGCAGAACCAGGCACATACTGCATCTGCTAAGCTCTAGACAAAATGAAATGCAGACAGCTCTCTTTGAGCAGGGTATGTCAATGGTCTCCCTGAAGTAACAGTAGGCAGCAGACTGTAAAATGGAGCAATTATCTCCAGCTTCAGCCTGGAAGGGATCCAGCACATATCCGTTCATTAATATGGTCACTTTCATACCCACTGCAAAGATGCCTTACCATCCTGACATTGGTGATCTTAGAAGCACTTTGAAAACACAAGCGGATGAATATATACAGCAGGAAGCCTCACTGGCATGAAGTACTCAAGGTGGGAGGGTAGCTGAGCTAGCGGGTTAATTTTAGAGGGGCAAGGGAGCAGGAAAGTAATTAAGCAGAGTGAGGGCTGAGTAGCTGAGAACTGGTGGCTGGGCTGACTAACTAGAAGCAGTAACCAGTCAGACCAAGCTAACCATCTCTCTTTGCCAAATCATCACACAAATGGGCCAAGGAGCACTCAGATTAGGCAGCTCAGAAATTAGTTCAGGTGAGTAAACAGACTGGGCAGCTGGGCGAGCGCTGTATTCACCACTAAAAAGTGTTTGACAACAATAAAGCTGAACTGTGTCTCCTCACAAGATTGCAAACACAATGAGTAAGAAAAGTATAAGAAACAAATACACATCTTGAGTGAAAACCTAAGACTAGAGTGGAGCTGGGAATTAGGGCTGGGCAGTAACTGCCTGCCCAGCCAGCAAAGCCCAATCCACTGACTGATTTTAAAAAGTGCTGTGTGTGTCAACAAAACGGGATGGGAAAGTTTGCTGGGTGGGGCAATTCAAGCTGCTAAAGGAAGCAGAAAAAAACAAGTTAGATTAGTTTGGGCTTGGTTGCTGAAGGGAAAACAAGGATCACTGAAGCAGCTGCTGAATGAAGTTGTGATTGTAATAAAAACACAAAATAATTAAAGACCAAAATGGATTACACACCAGGAGCTGAGGCATCAACTGGAAAATAATAACTGGCATATTTTTCTTTTCTGTTCCATTATACTTAAGATAGGCTACAAGTAAAGGGATAAAATGGTTTGGCTTTAGGCATCTTCTGAGAAAGGGAAATGCATATAATGCTACTCTTATATAATCATACAGTCCACATAGCTCTTGAATGTGAGCTGGCAGCTTGTTGACAGGACAAGATTCTTTCTGGAAATCTACATGTTTCTGGGTTTTGATCAGAGGTCTGATGACCCTTAACGTTAACTCTGTTTTTTCCTTCACAGATGCTGCCAGACCTGCTGAGCTTTTCCAGCAACTTTGTTTTTGTTCCTGATTTACAGCATCCGCAGTTCTTTCGGTTTTTATATGTGTACACACCTTGTCATAGAATTAAAGGATGGTTAGAACATAGGAGGCAACTTTTTAAACTACAGTGTTCTTACCAGCTCTCTGCAATCAAGGAGAATATTGTACCGTTGCTCAGGGGAGATCTGGACTAAAACTGAATTGGCCTCTTACCTGCAATCCATCTGAACAATGACAGCATAAACCTTCCTGCAGTGAAATTTAATTCCCAACCAGTGGAACAGTTGAACAATAATCTGCCCACATTATTAATGCAGCATTTCACCAGCATGTCTGAACAATTAAAAGCTGTTTCCACGCATACCACACTTGAGTCACCATAACAAATATCTACAAAGTGGATGAAAATTCTTACTGTTTAATTTGAATTAGAAAAGTTCTGTGAATATGAAATAAAAGTTCATTTCTTGTATTCACACCAATATTTTCAGTAAAATTACGTATAAGGACTTCGGCTCCATGCTGATTACAAATATTGGGGATTCAGCTAAGAAGTGGCATTAATTAGCCTCTATATGCAATGCAAACTTAACAAAATATTTAAGAAACAGAGCAGCTACTTGCTTACATCAAGTGTCCAGAAGTTTAATCTGAATAAAAAAGTGTACAAAAATCCTACGTACCTTTAAAAATGAAGTAATGGATTCTTTCCAGGGTCATTCACTATGGTCACTGAGGCATGATTTGGAAACTTTACATTGTAGCTTAAATCCACTTCACCCTTTCAAAACTTCTTTTTCCATTCTCTATCAACGTTAACTTCCACATTCTTAGTGGTATAGCTCCTGCCCTCCCTTTCTAGATTCCAAAAGCTTTTAAAAGAGAGCCGTTCATTAAAAATTTATAATGCCGCACCCACCTCCCTGATACCACCGCACCTCTTCCTGCTCCACCCACTGCCAAGCAAACACCTCCCCAGGTGAGTTTTGTGGTTCATGTCCATGAGGCTGTGGGAAATGTAAAATGAACACTCTCAGTAAGACAAGGTTCCAGCTTTAGATTAAGAAACTAAATTCCGGGAAACCTCTCAAATGAAATGATCAGTAAGTTTGGATTATCCTTTCCTGAATTACTCCAGAAATAAAATAATCAAAGTCCTAAATCCTGCCTCATGGATAAGTAATGTTATTGGATCAATGGCAAGTTGAACAGTAGTAAGCTGCTTTGAGACAGGGACGCTCAAGATGCCAGAATGAGAGGAGAACAAACATTTTAGAAGGGTTTTAATGTAGTAAAGCCAGAAAGGACTAAAGAGGTAGGGGTGAAGCCTTGGACAAGGGTGAACATTTTAACATCAACGT